ATTTGAATGATCATTTGAATGTTCTAACAGGATGCAGATCTTCTTCAGACCTCCCTCGCTTTTCACTCCCAACAGGCTAGTCATGGAATAATGAGTCTGACCCACTGAACTTCAGACCTTTCATCTTGAAAACTAACCTTTTCATTCAACAAATGTTTACTGAGCTGTCAACTTGCCGACACTAATCTAGGTGCTGTGGATAGAAGAGTGAATAAGTCATGGCCTTCACGGCACCTTTCTGATGAGGAAAGATACACAATACAAATAACATCTCAGCTGATGGTTAGTTCTGTGGAGAACATTCAAGAAGGTCAAGGGAATAACATTACGAGTGTGCAAGACATATGGGGTAGTGAGGGATGTTCCTTTGATGAGGTAACATTGAGCAAAGGAAGGAAGGAGGTCAAACAGCAAGTCATGTGGAGATCTGGGTAAAGAAGCTTCCAAGCAAAGGGGACCACAGTTCTAAAAACCCTGACAGAGGAGCAACTTTTGTTTGTCCCATAACATGACGGGGTGGGATGCATAGGGAGGAGAGTGGTAAAGAGAGATGAGGTCACAGAACAACAGGGCCAGGCTGCACAGGCCTGAGTGGGGTCCCAGCAGGTCTTTGCCTTTTACTCTGTGTGTGTTGGGAGCTACTGGTGAGTGTTGAGCAAAGGAATTGCATTCTGGCTGCTGTGAGGAGTGTGGAATACGGGGTGAGAGCCTGGAGCAGGAAGGAGGAATGACTGTTGAGTGTCACCTTATACCCAGTTGGCCTTTCATTTTGGTAATAAAATCCTGATTTTTGATGGCAGTGACATGCCTGCCTAAAATAAGTATTCCATTCTCCCTGTGCCTCAGAACATAGTCATGTGACCACATTCTGGCCTCAAAAAGAGCCCACCCCTTTGGGAACAAGTCTTTTCTCCTCTTTGGAGTCCTCCTGTTGCCAGCCTGGGGTGTAAACCTATGGCTGGAGCGCCAGTGGCATCTTGAAATGGAAGTGACAGTGGGGAGAAGCAGCCCCTAATACAGCCCTCATGAGAGAATGGAGTTGCCTCACCAACTCTGCACTATTTTTGGGCTTTTTTCCAAAAACAGGTTGAAGAGAGAGAGAAATGAGAGAGAAATACACTTCTGTTTTGTTGAAGCCACTATTGGGGTTCTTAGTTACACAGGGCCAAACCTAACTGGAATGATATAGGAGACCAATGCAGTAATCTAAGGGAGTGAAGGGGGCTGTTTGGACCAGAGTGGTAGCAAATGACGTGAGATTCTGGGTATTTTTTTGGAGGTACAGCCTAGAAGATTTGCAGATGGTTTAGATACAGGAGTGAGGAATGAAGGAAAATGAAGGAAGACCTCTGCTTTGGGCCCCAAGTGACTTTTCATAGAGTCATTTTTACAAAGATGCAGAAGGTGAGGGAGAGGGTGTGGCTGTGGATGAGGATGGCGTTGGGTGAGGTTGAGAGTCCTCACCTCACCTTGCCAGGGCAGTGGCAAGTTGACCTTGCTTGGAGCAGAGAAGGAGACAATGGAACAGGCAGAGGGCGGGGGATAGATTGGTGGGGAAAGATGGAACTCCCTTCCTACAGCTTCTATTTTCTCAAAAAAGACGATGCCAGGTCATCAAGCTTTTCATCATGAAGGAATGAAAATAGAAGGTGAAGATGGGGAGGTTTGGAGAGAGAGAAGTGTGAAATAGTTTTTTTAGAGTGGGATTTCTGGGCAGCAATCAGTGAGCCTCTGTAGGAAATTTGTGCTAATTTAACATGAAGCCAGATCTCAGTGCTGTGTCTTTCTGCAACCCAGTCAAGCCAGATCTCAGTGCTGTCTTTCTGCAACCCAATTTAGCGGCTGTTGAATTGAACTGAATGTCTCTGGGAAAGTGCTGGACAATAAAAGACAAAAGGAACAGGGAATGAAGGGGGTGTCTCCCTGGTAGGAAGCAGCGAGAAGGTTCAGGAGCCAAACTGGAATTAAAAAGATAGTAAACGCACGAGATGGGGATGGATAACACAGAGGGCTCTTGAAAAGACTGAAAAAAATTGGCAGAGTTTGGGCTCTAAAGACACTAAGTGTGGGCCTCCCCGGTGGCGCAGCGGTTGAGCGCTGGGTTGCGAAGATGCCCGCAGCCTCTGCAGTGCCGGTTCGATCCCTGGCTGCTCCCTGGCCACTGGAGGAGGGTCCCACAAGGCGTGCAGACCTCTCCTGCCGCCCGCTGCTCCCCTCAGCAGTGTACTTCGTCAGTCTGCCTGTTCTGCTTCCCACTCTGTCTCTGGTGAATCCTCTCACCCTCCCGTGCTTCTGACTGTACCCAGTGCTTGTATAAATAAATAAATAAATCTTTGGAAAAAAAAAAAAGAAGAATCTGTTGATTTATTTAAAAAAAAATAAAAGAAGACACTAAGTGTAAGAATAGAAGGTGATGAAGGTCACAGAGTGGGGTTTTGAAAATGAGTGGCTCACATGAGAGAGATGAAAGATCACTGGAGAGAGAAGGGGTGAAGAAGTGCAAGACATTAAAGAGGTCAAGGTGCTAAATAAAATATATTCAGTTATAAGACTGATAAAGTTGTTCACAAACTGCCGTAATTAGATTAACTCACTTGACTAAAGATACTATTCATTAGCATAAGTATTTTAAATTGAAAGCTTTTTGGAGGGGAAGGGATGAACATTTGAAGGGTTAAAAAAAAAAAGTTTTACCCAAACATCTAAGTTTTTGTTGGGTGAAAATATAAAGCTTCCTTTCTATGTGGAACCTCTTTGTATCTTCAACATTTCTTTCCCTTCTGCAAGTTTTCTTAGGTGGCTAAGCCCATTAAAACCTTATGAAAACTGACCTGTTTTTCCCTCTAAGCTTCTTCATGTCATAACTTGTTGATTCTAAGCTGGCCTTGACCCCTTGTACTTACCTTATGACTTTTTTCTCTTTTTTTTTTTGAACTCTTATTCCCATAGTTACCTCTTTCAGATGTTTGCTTCTTCTCTCCTGCTCCATATCCTTGGGATAACCTCACTCTTGCTGGGATCCCTTTCTGTAGGGGAAGGAACAGGGAGGATTCCCAACACATTTTGCATGAGAAAGAGAAGATTCTAGAACTGACTGGGTTTTGTAAGCCTGCAGAAAAGCCAGTACATAGTTTTACATCCCATGAAAAACATCCAGAGCACAGGCCCAGTGTGCCCGCTGTGGTCTCTGAAGCACTGAGAATTGCTTTGCTCCTCCCACCTCCTGGTCCCTCTTCATTAACTTCAAAAATTATGAATTGAGAAACTATTCAGGGCCATTCAGAGTGCTGATTAAAGTAATTCACATTAATGGGCAATGACTAATTGGCTTAATTCTCTGAGGGCCTGTCACATCTCTAAAATGTGTGTAATAATCCAAATTTCTGATTCATGGAATAAATGTGAAAGAAGACATCACACTCTATTTAGGGTTTTCTGTGACAGAACAAAGGGGCTCCCTTTCTCTTGGGGCCTCCACGCTGCCTCCTATCCCCTAGAAAGTGAGCTAAGATGACATAAAATCTGGAAGTGGAATTTATGTGCGCGCCCGTCTGTGTGTGTGCATGTGTATCTGTGTGGTGACGGGTGCCACCCACCTCATGAACAACTCTCTCCAGCTCATGACCTACGTGTTTTCCTCAGTTCTCGGGAATCACAAGCCAGAGGTTCTGATGTGTGGATTATGGTTAAACAACATTGTTCTTACATTGTAAGCTCATGATCTCAGGATCCTATTACCTAATTTTCCATGGAATCTTCTTCAGATACCCCATTTTGGAAAGGTTTCCAGGAACACAGTCGTAGAATTATAGAGGTCCCTGGCTCCGCTTATTTCTTCTGTTGGCTTGTCAGTTGCTGGAATGTACAGGGAGAGCAGGGAGCCAGGGAACCCAAAGGGAGGCTTTTGTGTCTCAAGGTGGTCAGGGGCTAAGTGAGTTCTACAGCTCATCCTCCCATCACTATGCGAAGGACCAGGAGCAGAGCTCTGGCAGGGAGACAGCAGCTCCTTGCAGTGTTAGTCAGTGCAGTGGGCTCCAGGGTCAAACATGTGGGTGAGCCCAGTCAGACTGCCAGTAAGTAGCTCTTGACCTTGGGCGAGTCACTGAAGTCTCAGGGGCTACAGTTTCTATATTTTAGCAATAAATCATTGTCACGGAAAGTGCTGGGGAAGAGAGCAGGCCTCTCCGGGACCACCCACCCCCACCAGCGGATCTGCATCCCAGGTACTTCTCTGCCTGGGGGAGGTTCTCTTCCAGGCCCAGAAGTTTCCCATGGGAGGCAGGCAGAGATCAAAAGGGAATGTATGACATGGGACTTAGGTGTGAATTGGTGAGGATTCCTTCTCCTGAATTCACATCTGCCAGAGGGATGACATCTTTGAGGCTCTCTCCTTCCCTGTCCCACCCCCAGTGCCCAGGTGGACGAGCTGCTCTCGGGAGAGGGCAGACAAGAAGAAAGCGTCCCCTTCTGTTCGTCTCCCCCAAGGGGCATGTTTCGCTAAAACTCCCAACACTTGCTCTCCTGCCACCTCGGCCAAGTTTTGAATCTACACCCAAGCACCTTTCATCAGCCTTTGGGCAGCAGCTCCGGACAGAGAAGGAGCCCCCCGTTTCTGAAACGAAAATACATATAGAAGCAGAAGAAGTCGAGCTGCTTCCTGCGGTGACTGTTGGCGGGAGGAGCCGGCGCGGCCCCCCAGAGGTCGCTGGTGGCGCAGGCACTGGGGCCAGATCGCAGAGAAAGGGGGAGGAAAAAAAAACACCCAGAAACTTTCTTCCTCGTTGCGAATAATCGCCGCCCCCCACCCCTCCCCGGGCAGAGGCAGTAACGTGACACCGAGAGGAGCCGGGAGCCCCGCGCGGGCCGGGGAGGGGCGGGGGTGGAGAGAGGCCGCGGCGCGCCGGAGGCAGGAGGGGCGGCGAGGAGCGCCCCGCCGGGAGGTGGAGCGAGGGGCTGTGTCCGCCCCCCGTCCCTCCCTGCCGCTCTCCCAGGCGCCCGAGCCGGGACACAACGCGCCGAGCCCGCCGGACACAAAGCCGGGGGGTCCGCGCTGGCGCTGGAGGCGAGCCCCGGCGGCCGCGAGCGAGCCTGAGGCGCGGCGGGGCGCGGGGCGCGGGGGCGCGCGCGGGCGGGGCGCGGGGGGCGCCCCCGGGCCGGGGCGGGCACCTCGGCCGCTCGGGCCGCGGCGGCGGGGACCATGCCGAGGAAAGTCTCCTGAGCCCGGCAACTTCGGCCCCTCCCCGCCCCCACCGCGCTGCCCTCGGCGCGGCCCGGCCCGGGAGCCGCCGGCCGGCCGGGCTCTGCTCCCCGCAGGCGGATGGGCGACCCCCTCCCGGGCCGGGCAGGCTGCGCGCGGCGGCGGGGCGGGCGATGAAGAAGAAGCAGCAGCATCCCGGCGGCGGCGCGGATCCCTGGCCCCATGGGGCCCCTCTGGGGGGCGCCCCCCCGGGCCCGGGCGGCTGGCGGCGCCGGGTGTCCCTGCTGCCGCTCCTGCGCTTCTCCCTGCGGGACTACGGCTTCTGCATGGCCACCCTGCTGGTGTTCTGCCTGGGCTCGCTCTTCTACCAGCTCGGCGGGGGACCCCCGCGCTTCCTGCTCGACCTGCGGCAGTATTTGGGTAAGCACCGAGGGGCGCGGGCGGCGCGAAGTTGTGCCGGGGATCCCCGGGCGCGGCGCGGGTCTGCGGTGGCTCCCGCCGCGCGCCGCCGCCCCGAGGCGCCCCAGGTGAGCCCCGCGCGCATCCGCGCTGCGGCCGCGGGCGCCGGCTGCACCCCGCGAGGCGGTGGGTCGGCCCCGCGGCGGGGACCGGCTGGGGGCGCGGGCCAGGTGCCCCGGGACGGCGCTGCCTGCTTCCCCGCTCCGCCTCCCCACCTGGGCGGAACGCACGCGTGTGTGTTTGTTGTGGGTGCGCACGAGTGTTGGGTGTTCAGGCCTGGCGGTGCGGGGAAGGGACAGACCCCCAGGGCGCCGGTGGTCGCCACGGTCTTGTCCTGCCCAGCGCTCCCGGGCGTGTGGCGCCCCTCCACCGCGCGCCCTGCCCATGTGGCCCACAAATCCCCCTCCTGTCGGCTCGCCCAGGGGGCCCAGGGGCTGCGGTCGGGGTCCACCCTGCCCCCCGAGTTGGCTGGTCCTTTGACAGCGCCTGCCCACCCCGCCGCGCGAGTGGGACGCGGGAGACGGCTGCGCCCGGGGTCTGGAGCGGTCCCGGGGCGCGAGCAGCAGCGTCGCTTGTTTGACTCGACGATCCCGATTGGTGAATGTCTCAAACCAGAACTTTTTTTTGGGGAGGGGGGTGTTGTGATCGTTTATTAGCAGTGATCGCCTGTCCTTAGCGGAGGTAAGGGAGAGGTGGGGCCGAGAGAGAGGAGCCGCGCGCCGGAGAGGGCGTGACCCGTGGTCCCGCGGTCCGCGCGCGGGGAGCCCGGGTGCCCCGGCTGGGCGAGCGCAGGGCTTGGTCCCGGGTGCGATGCTCGCTCGCGCGCGCGGCCAAGGAAGGGTGCAATTTCTCAGGTTTGTGGCCAGAAGAAGTCTTGCGGGGGCGAGCGGAGAGTTGGGGAGGGTCCAGTTTCTTGCAAACGTCCCAGGCGCTAAACCTCAGCCACCCGCCAAACACCCAGCATCTGCCAGGCGAGAGGGCGATACCTTAGGGAGCCACGGAAGCCTTGGAACTGAAATGGGCTGCAGGACTCGGAGGCTGCCGCACTTACCCACCCACGTGCGTCCCTGGTCCGGAAAGCCCCAGGTCTAGAGAGCAGACCGTTTTCGAAGGAAAGAAGCCACTTCAGGAAAAGTGACCACTGTGTTAGAACAGCTGGAAATGTAAGCGCAGATGATACTTTTGCTACGCGGAGAAGCTCAGGTTTTAAGTTACACTTCGATTTCAGTAGGAACCTTGGAGGGAACTATGGGCTTGTAAGGTGTTTTAGGGGAGATTAAAGGAAAATATTGCCCAAGTACATTTCTAGAGTATAATCTTTAGCATCTGATGTCAGGAAGGATTTGGGCTAAGATGCCCTTTTGTTGGGTATCAAGTGCTTCTTTCCCTGAGTTCCCTGCTTTGGATTCAGAGGCTCACAGACACCTGCTAGTGACACATTTTTGCCACCAGTGACCACTGTTGACTGGCATTGGGAAGTTTTTGGAGCTCGGGGGTCTTTTTATAAAATCTAATAATGAATTCTTTGTAGACGTTCCTGTTAAGTAAAATATGGAGGGCAATTGTGCAGGGAAAATGCAGTGTGTGGGGAACTTAAACATCCTTCCTAGCATCCTAAAAACACTAGACTTTGGGCAGGGTGCTCAGACTGCATGGGCCTCGGTTTTTTCTTTGGTAATACTTTGGGCTGCGCTAGCTGTTGCTCAGACCTCCGCCCAGTTCTAGAGTGGGGTAATGAGACCCTTCTGGGGAACAAGAAAGACTAAAGGAGGAAGGAACAAAGGCACTACTGAAGGTAAAGACAAGAACCTTTTTGGAAATTCAGCCAAATACATTTTGGCTGCTTCTGCTTCTGCTACCCAGAAGTTGGTGAGGTTTGATCAATATGGGAACTTAGTGGGTAGGAGGGTGAGTTCACAGCATCCACCCAGGACTCGAGGAACAACTGAAAAATTGAAGATGCGTCTTATTCTCAAGTTCATTTAGTTTCCGTCTGACCCAGTGGGTTAAAGAATGACATCGTTATGACCTGAAAATAGGGTACCCTTGGCCAAGTTTATTCCCTGTTGTTTTGTTTCATAAATAAAACGATTTGCACAAAAAGTGAGTCTCTGGTTTTTAGGCTGCCTGAAGTATATCCTTCATAATATAGGCCCTAGTGTCTGCAGAATGTGTTCCCGTCGCTTCCTCCTTTCTGTTATTTTAGTGTCTGTCAAAACGAAATTTGTGGCTACTTAGTAAACACATCCTCTCAATTTCCCTCATTAGCCAATTTTGGAGGCAAGTATTCTTTAACTATAAGTTTCCAGGAAGTCAAAAACTTCCAAATCAAAATATTTATAGTGAACAGGGTACCATTTTGTATCTAATTGTGTAATATTATACATCTGACTCATAGTAGCTGCTTGATAGAGATTTCTTGAAGTAATGACTTTACCCATTTGATCAAACAGGTAGTATGATATTTAACATATTGAATGTTTTTTTAGGAGAGTCAAAAGATATAGCCATTCATGATAAAAAGCCAACATTTATATGTGTGTGCTGGGCAATGCAGGAGCAGGGTGGAATTGTATTCATAGAGTGATACTATTAAGTAGGTTTGATTGTTCCCATTTTTTTTTTTTTCATATCTCTGCCTTGCTGAAGTGCACACTACAGGAAGGCAGGATTTGAACCCAGATCTCTCTACTCAGGTGCCCATGCCTAGTACTCTGAGCAGTTTTACAGATAAAGTAGAAATGGAGCCAGAATGCAAGTTGGAATCTAAGAGCTGAATGGCTAGAAATGATCGTATTTATTCCATGATTTCACTTTCTTTTTCTTGATAATTTTACTCAGTATTTTGAGGGCCAGCAGAAAAGAGATCACTCAAGCAGCTGGTCTGCTCACACTCCACCTCCTTGTATTATTTCCCAGCATGCTGCTCGAATGTCAGGGAACGAGACTCCCACACACTGGAGGTGATGTGAATTTGCGTCTTAGCTCCTGATCTTTCTTTAGCAATTGTTCTTTGTCTAGATTAGTAGTACTCAGTGTGTGGCCTGTGAACCTGCAGCTTCTGCATCTGGGAACTTGCCACAAATGCAGATTCTCAGGTTTCATCGCAGACCTATTGAATCAAAGAGTCAGGAGTGGGTCCAGCAATCTGTGTTTTATCAAATCCTCCAGGTGATTTTGATGTAGGCTAAAGTTTGTGAGCCATGATTCTATAGTTTGCCTGCTGGGTAAGATCATAAGATAACCCTATGTATTTGAAAGAAAGTGGGCAATGAGAGAGAGAGAGAGAGAGAGAGAGAAGAGATTTATAAAGTATTTAAGGTGGCATACATGTTGCATTCAGGCTTTTAATTTCAACTTTTAAAAATGCATCTGCTTTGCTGTCTAAGTCTCATTGCTTCAAGGGAAAGACCAGCTAATAGCTGCAGTCCCACCTGGCTTTAGACTTTCTGAGGTTTGGAGATGTATGAAATGGGGCATTTGGGAGGCAACCAGAAGGCATAGCGTGGAAAAGGAAGAAAAAAGGTCAATAATGGTATTTTTTCCTCCCCCACAGGGACCAGGGTAAAACAGTTCCTTCTTTATAGTCAGTTAGGGAAAGGACAAAGTCTATTCTCCTTAAAGGACTTTCTGCTGCAACAAATTTGAAAAAAAAAAAAAAAAAAAAAGGAAAGTTAGAAAGTTAGGAGGAGAGAAATGATTTGGGTATAGCTGTTGTTTTGATTTTTCCTCTAAATGGGTAGAGAAAGAACACAAGTATATAATGGTATAAATAGATAAATATAGCAAATTGCTATACCTAAACTTGGAAACTATATTCTTTCCAATTTAGTGAAATGATTTCACTTTTAAAACAGCATTCAGACTTTGATTTGCTATGGAAAACAAACAAAAATCAAATAAAATCTCCCCCAGAAATTAGGTTATGATTGCAGCCTCTGCCAGTAGCCTCATTTCTTATGAGCTTTGGAAATATCAACAACTTGGCATAACACTCGTTACATTGATGTAAACTGAATCAGCCAGATGGCTTACTACTGATCTTATCCAGCGGGCAAACTCTAATGATTTATCATCAAGGCTTGGAGATGCGATTCAGCCTTTATGAGAGCTAAATTTGTTGGGCTGTCTTGAATTGGGTATGCCTTCTTTTCCATTTTTAATATATACTATTTTAAATGAAGATCCGGAACTTTAGTTCTCAGGTTTGTCAGTCTTAATATATATATGTTTATACAGATAACATACATGTAATATATATACATATGTATGTGTAATATGTATATATGTGTGTATGTATATAAAATAAATGAGCATGGCATTTTTGAGTCAGAAAATGGAGAGTAAAGAATGTAATTTTGTGGAATTTGATATTCTCTAAGTTTAAGTGAATTTTTTTCATTTTTTAAATTTTATTTTTATATTCCCCATGCAATTGCAACCCCCTTATTTTGACCCCAATAAGTTTAAGTGAATTTGAAGAAAATGTGTAACTAGAGGTCCAGATCTATTGCAAAATAGTTTTTCTCTGAATCTTAAAAGTCGACTCGGGTTTGTTGGTTTTTTGTTTTTTTTTTTCTGTACATCACACATAAACCTAGAGCTTCAGGCCCCAGATAATGATTTAGGAAATCAGTGCATAGAATATAATGTCATCAATCGAAATAGTGGCCATAAAAAGGAAAATGACATTCTTGTTTGTAGTTGCAAATTTATCTTGTAGGGTTGGATGGGGACACAGTAGCACTGTACTAGAGAAGAACAGCAAATGGAATTCAACTATGGCAGTCTGCTCCAAAAACACTTTGCATGAATGCTGAAAAACATTCTGCCTTGTAAACTATTTTTAATGTAGACTAGTCTCAGTATGAATTGTTTAAAGATACATATAAATATGTATTATCTGGATACTGTCTTTCTTCAAATTCCCTGTCATCAATCCAAGTTTAAAACACTAGTTG